TTTATAGTGGCTACGGTAACTCTCCTTAACGACAATACAACCGTTCATAGTGGCTACGGTAACTCTCCTTAACGACAATACAACCGTTTATAGTGGCTACGGTAACTCTCATTAACGACAATACAACCGTTTATAGTGGCTACGATAACTCTCATTAACGACAATACAACCGTTTATAGTGGCTAAGGTAACTCTCCTTAACGACAATACAACCGTTTATAGTGGCTAAGGTAACTCTCCTTAACGACAATACAACCGTTTATAGTGGCTACGGTAACTCTCCTTAACGACAATACAACCGTTTATAGTGGCTACGGTAACTCTCCTTAACGACAATACAACCGTTTATAGTGGCTACGGTAACTCTCCTTAACGACAATACAACCGTTTATAGTGGCTACGGTAACTCTCCTTAACGACAATACAACCGTTTATAGTGGCTACGGTAACTCTCCTTAACGACAATACAACCGTTTATAGTGGCTACGGTAACTCTCCTTAACGACAATACAACCGTTTATAGTGGCTACGGTAACTCTCCTTAACGACAATACAACCGTTTATAGTGGCTACGGTAACTCTCCTTAACGACAATACAACCGTTTATAGTGGCTACGGTAACTCTCCTTAACGACAATACAACCGTTTATAGTGGCTACGGTAACTCTCCTTAACGACAATACAACCGTTTATAGTGGCTACGGTAACTCTCCTTAACGACAATACAACCGTTTATAGTGGCTAAGGTAACTCTCCTTAACGACAATACAAACGTTTATAGTGGCTACGGTAACTCTCCTTAACGACAATACAACCGTTTATAGTGGCTAAGATAACTCTCCTTAACGACAATACAGCCGTTTATAGTGGCTACGGTAACTCTCCTTAACGACAATACAACCGTTTATAGTGGCTAAGGTAACTCTCCTTAACGACAATACAAACGTTTATAGTGGCTACGGTAACTCTCCTTAACGACAATACAACCGTTTATAGTGGCTACGGTAAGCCTCCTAAGATCTCTTTTAAAATCTAAAAGCATGAGCTTCCTTGACCTTAATCATGAAAGACGAAATACTAACAAATATCGATAGCCGTCCAACTGTTTTAAGCTTTCCTGAATCCTACTTCCTTTTTCAAAATCAACACCTGAACAATGTTATCGACAAAGAGGACTACTGATATTGACAAGTGAAAAGTGTTTCAAAAACAATATGTCTGTTGTAGTGTTAAGTTGCTATCTTGACGCCTAACACCACACTAAATATAGCTATGTTTGCAATCCACGGATGAATATTTCATCTTTCCACTCCAAGCGCGTTACGTAATTCACAACAGGGTTGGATCGGAAACTGTCACCAGGCAATACGCAAGGTGCGAAACGCAGCTGATGTAATTAGTATTTACAACATCGGAGAGTTGAGGGGCACTTAGTGGGCATGAATCATATAAAAACGAACAGGAATCCGAATTTAAAATATACTTTAATGTATATTAGTACATTTACTTTAGGTGGTGATAAAAGTTATGAAAAACTCAATAAATCTAAATTTTATTCATTTATCAGATACAGACAAGTAAATTTACTAACATTTGAATATATGTTTACCCCGTCGTGAGCCCCACGTACAGCATTCCATTTGGTGCTCTCAGATTCACTCGCTAGATCACACTGGATAAATAATTGATAGCAATGGAACAAGATACAGCGTCTTTGTAATGGTATCCTGTGGAATGAGTTTATTAATCTGCATCAACGTAACAAAGAAAGAGACACGTGAATCTGTTTGGCTACACGTTTGTGTATGTAGCGTTATTCTAATTTGTGAACATCCATCCTCGATACTTTAGGGTTAGGCTCATCTACTATCTAATGCAGCAGCCATGGGAAATATAGCAAAGTTGAAGGCACGCGACTAGCTGTTTGACATGTCTCAGGTAAAAAAAAGAGTCATAGTTCAGAGACCGTAAGTGGGCGTGAACCCTGAGGATCGTGAATTTCTGGATTTGTGTATTTCGCCTAAAATGAGGTCTTGCACTCGTTTTGATTTATGTACGTGATGTAGTAAGATATTCCAGAATCAGTATGGAATTGTGGACATGACAGAACTATTCTACTGATTGGGTGTGGCTATGCGTATTAAGAGAACCTGAATTATAATACAAACAAGTACTAATTGTAATGGGGGACAATTACAGAAGTCCCCCAAACCGCCGCAGTTATGTTCGCAGTTACCAAAATATACCTATATAATCATGAAATATGAGTAAGTGACCAATATTTAATTTCGACCAATGGCCATCTTGGTTGACCGATCGGAAAATGAAAGGTCATTTGCACACACCCTTACCACGATGATCACTTGTATTAAGTTTCATTAATTTCCGTCCAATTGTTTTCGAGAAATGTGTCGGAAACGTTTACGGCGAAACAAGAAGAAAAAGAAGAAGAAGAAGAAGAATCGGAGTAAAACCAATAAGTCCTCCACTTCGTTTGGGGGACTTAAGTATCTCAACTAAAGTAACACTTGACATGAAACATTCTCTGAAAAATAAAACTATACTTTGTATACCTAGCAACTCTAGTAGACGGCTCTATAACAATACAACACATTGTCTTACAACCAGTCTCTAGTTAATACAACTATATTAATATTAAACTACAATATACTAATACGATCTGCCAAACTCTAGGTAAGTAAAACTGTATTCAGTTTACGTGTCACCTGTAGTAAACTAAACTATAATGATATAAAACATTGTATAGCAAAATTTCTCTAATTAAATAAAACTAAACTTTGTATAAACCACGACACAGCATAGTCGACACTATGCGTTCATTAGTCTGGTAATATTGCTATAGTACCAAACAAGTGAGACATTATTTAAATGCAAAATCAGTCGGCTGATTAATTGATTAGTTGGCTGATTAATTGATTAGTTGGTTGATTGATTAGTTGGTTGATTAATTGATTAGTTGGCTGATTAATTGTTTAGTTGGTTGATTAATTTATACATTGATTAGTTGGTTGATTAATTGATTAGTTGGCTGATTAATTGATTAGTTGGTTGATTGATTGATTAGTTGGCTGATTAATTGATTAGTTGGGTGATTAATTGACAAGTTGGTTAATTAATTGATTAGTTGGCTGATTAATTGTTTAGTTGGTTGATTAATTGATTAATTGATTAGTTGGTTGATTAATTGATAAGTTGGCTGATTAATTGTTTAGTTGGTTGATTTATTGATTAATTGATTAGTTGGTTGGTTAATTGATGAGTTGGCTGATTAATTGTTTAAAAGATTTAACGGCCAAACAACGTTCAGGGTTATATAAGGCCAAACAGGATACACAAAAATAGCACAAAAACCAAACAAAAAAAGTAAGATCTTAAAATATACATTGTATGGAATGTTTAGGAGAGAAATGTCAAGGCATCTTTCCAAGTATAAAAGCCATTCTGTCAAATAACTTAAAGACAGTCAAAGCATCGACTGAACAGAACAGAACAGACCTTCCATACTATCAACCAGGTAATATTTGTGACGGATATTTTGAATATCTGCACAATAAATCATCAAGTGTTTAATTGTAAACTTTACATGTCAGACATGTGGGCTTATCTTCCCTATCAAAAAATATCATTGGATAATAAACGTGGGACTAATAAAGGCCGGGCAAGGGTCACTTCATTCTAATTTTTCATTATCAGGACACCATTCAGAAACGGTTCCTTTGATATAGTAAATTTATTTAGGTATATGCACCCAGTTCTGCGCGTCGTTTAGACTACACACACGATGAAACAGCATAGCGTTTGCAGCGCGATAGTTTTTTTTCCGATGCTGATAATCTAAATGGGACCTATAAGGGAATATTGCTGTATTTACAGGACATAATGAAAACAAATTTGATAAAGGCAAAAATCGTCATTCGTAATGCCATTTTGTAAAAAACATTCGAAAAATACGATTGCTGGGTTGCATTTATTGGGTTTTTTGGCGTTTTATAATAATTGGATTGATTCTGCATAAAAAGGATGTTTAATCTTATCAGTTATACAAGCTGTTTCCATACTGCTTTTATCTTTCGAACCATCGGTCCATTAATGTTTAAAGTTCGGAAAATGAGAAGTAATATTTGAATTTAAGCCATGAATTCGTAATAAAAAGTATTAAGTTTTGTTATTTTATGCAAATCTAGCAATTATATGGGTTATATTCTCTATAGGTATACTATAAATAGTTTGACGTTCTGTTTCAATGTTGGAAATATCCAGATAAGCATCAGTTAAAAGTTTTGATGTTTAATATCAAACAACAATTCTATTTTTGGCGTCTGGTTTTGAAGGTATGTTTGTTTACTTTTATGAGTAGGATTAATAAAGTTTTTATTTGAAATGTGATTGTTTTGTCCATCACACATGATGGTTAATTTGCATCTCCATGGATGCTTTCAGCTCAAAAGTCTACAATTAGGCGTCTTCAAATCTAATCGCGACGACAATGACAACATCATGAAACTACGAAAAACAAACGAAACCATCTGCTCCCGCACCATATATGACACTCGTTAAGATGTCCATAGCAAAAACACCCAGGCCCGAGCTACATAAAGGTTAGTTAACTTTAACCAGTGGTTACTACAAAATTCAAAATGTTACCAATAAAAACTGAGGGCATTTAAATCGAAATAAATCCTCAAAATACAACTTTTTGTTTTGTCTCAGCCGCTATATAACAAAGCCATGATATAAGATAATCTTTACATTTGGCCCTATCCGGTAGTTAACTCTTACTGACGTTAAAGCAACCGGGGCTAGTAATTTACATAAGCAAGTAAGATGACGTACATGTTCCTTATATTGGGAGACACTTAAAACCTACTGTTGTAATGCAGGTTACTCTAACGACTGAAATATTCCTACTGCACTGAAACCTGACTGTCAAAACCCCCCAAAAAAACTGCATTAATGATTTGTGACAATGTTGTACTCACATGATCCTGAGTTCTTTGTTCCTTTTTAGAGCCTGTGGTGATATAAACTTCAGACCAGAATTTTCTATCGTCCTGTAAAAATGGGAAAAAAGAACATGTGAACAATTAAATGCCATTGGGGTACACGTGATAAATAATCAAAATGTACCTTGCTTATCTTCAAATTTCAAAAAAATGTTCTGTGGAGCTTTTATATAAATTCCAGCCAGTATTGCGTTTGATTACACTAAGGTACCTCTAAAGCTGGTAGATTTTAATTATATATAATAATAAAACAAACTAATGCATTTATAACTATTGTTACAATTATGTATTTGTAGCGACAGACACCTTAATGGTTATTGCTGGCTCTAAACCCGTCGTGTTCGAAACCTTAACAGCGGGTATGGACGCTATTGTTTCTGTTTCGCAATACAGTAGTTTAATTATATTTTCATGTAATAGACGCATAACACATGCTAATCTACAATGTATATAGTAAAGTTCCGACACTTGTCAATATAAGCGTCGAGTTTCTCTCTATTATTTAGGCCAAAGTCTGCTGGTAAAGCATCCGAATAGCTCAAACGTTAGTGTCAATTATTATTTTGTTTCAATTTCGCTTAAAACATTTTTGGCCTAAGACCACATTGAATTTCATTCTATGTTCTTACTAAAGGAAAAACTTTTACATATTTTTTGATAATTTTGCTAGACACCTGATCTTTACCGGCGTTGTTCGACAGTGGTGAGATGGAAAAATACTTATTAGCGCCATTTTCTCGCGATAATTTAATTATGTCAACATAACCTCTTTGCACTATGACCATGCTCAGGAATTCATATTGAGGGGTCCAACAGCATACCGTGTGCTTTCATAAAAATAAGTTTAACAAAAAGTAATCACCCATTTATTTAAAGGAACAAGATAATATTTTAATTCGGTATTACCTAATTTTACATTTCATTCAAAATCATCAAATGAAAACTCATTTAATAACGAGTCAACACATTCAGAATTGTTTGGCGACCTCAGACCACAATTAACGCTTTCGGTTCGTTGTTCACGAAAGCGTTAATTGTGGTATGAGGTCTGTGTATATGGTTGCCAAACATGGTCGCTTTAAAATTGGTATTCTTGCACAATCAAAGTCGTCTTAATTATTTTTATACCGACACAACGCAAGGCGGTTGCATACTTGATGAACTTGCACAGTCAAAGTCGTATACATGTTTGAACCACAGACATAATTAAAGTCGGCCTAATGCTGGATGTACTAGCGCAATCAACGTCTTTTAAATGCTTAATATACGTACACAACCAACGGCAGCTTCACACTTGATGTACTTTCACAATCAAAGTCATACACATTTTTGAAACACAGACATAATTAAAGTCGGCCTAATGCTTGATGTTCTGGCACAATCAACGTCTTTTAAATGCTTAATATACGTTCACAACCCAAGGCAGCTTCACACTTGATGTAATTTCACAATAAAAGTCGTACACATGCTTGAAACACAGACATAAGTAAAGGCGGCTTAAACCTGGATGCAGTGGCATAATCAATGTCGTCTAAATGTTTGATATACCGACGTAATCAAAGACGGCTTAATGCTGGATGTATCGACAAAATGTAAGTCCTCTCAATGCTTAACTCACTTCAGTTTGTATCGCCACTAAATATGCGTCTGTTAATGTTAACTACAACAAGTTTATACGCTTCAATGTGTGGTTTCCTGACAAAGCCAGAGTGAAATAATACCTAATTAACTGAGACAAAAAATAAAACCAACCACAATGTTACAAATAAGATAGTTAGTTTTAAAGCCAATATATCAAACTAATGGTTTTTCTGTCATTCGTATTTTACAACGTGTTGGAGAGACGCTTTTTGTATACAAATTCTAATGGTGATCACATATGTGTGTCTTAAATGTACGTTCATCTTTTAAGACGTAACCAATAATGTGCGTATATTATTGTGGAATATATAACGAGGACGAAAAAATGTTAAAACAGGATTACTTAATACACGGCCTTCTTTTAATCTTGAGTTATGTATTCACCATAGCATATACGTATATATTCTGTCCTATATTTACTGTAATGAAATGTGATGTCGTGTCTATAACTCGGTACTTTATAATCCGGCACGACCATGATAAACCAATTATCTAAATTAGTCTGTTGTTTTGCAAATGCAAACATTTGTCACGCGATGCGCTGTCTTCTTGGTTGTCCCAGGAATTGATTGGTTCTTCGGGCACATTTTTTCACCATTTTTTGCAGATTAAACGCTTGATATAAAAAAATCCTGTATTCAACTTTTTTTTTTGTATTCAATGAATCAAAAGAAAATGTGTTTCTCTTTCTAAAACAGCCACAAAAATAGGGGGTCGGTGTGCTTCTTTTTTTGTCCCATTATTATTTGTGTTATTTTTCACTTTTTTTCGGGGTCAAAAACCAAAGTGCTTCAGTTACCCTTATATGTAAAAAAAAATACCAATGATATATAACTTTCCACTTTTTTGCATATTATTTTCATCATATTAATATTATAAAGTTGAACCTGCTACAATAAAAAGGGTGATACAATGACAATTTAAGTGATCAATCTAGTGTAAAAAAGGTAAAATTTTGGCCCATGTGAAGTGCAAGAAATTCACATTAATACACTTTTTCACAATGTCCGCCGAATTGGTCATTTTTTTCAAATTCTTGTAAAAAATGTTCTACACACAACAGACATCTAGTTTTTTGACATGTTTTTCAGATCTGTGTTTGCTATTAAATCTATCATCATTTGTTAAATATTACAAAACCCCGTTACACCAGATCAAAACGAGACTTGAACGTGACTGAAACCTCTGAAGAGTACATCCTTATAAGTCGAACATAATTTTTGAGTCGAGACTCGACCAGTTTCTTTAAACTACTAAAGTAAGAAATTAAAATTACCAAAGTCGAACGATTTTTATCGCCTGAATTGCGACTTGAACAAATTATTTTAAACAAGGAATATTAAAATGATTAAAATCAAACAATTTGCCTGTTCCCGAGGCTCACGTAAAACTGCTTAACATATAAAGTAAGGAAATGAAACTGTCCAAGTCGAATAAGTTGGTCCGTTTCGAGGCTCTCGAAAAGTCACTTAACGAATAGAACTAAGCTTTTAATTTACAAAAGTCGCGCAAATGGTCTGTTTCAGAGCCAAAACAAAGTCGTTGTACACTGTACTTTGTAAGACAAGGTCGTGGAATCATCTAAGTCGGACGAGCTGTCTAGCTCCATGCTCTAGCAAACTCTACAACTAAAAGTTGGCATTCAATCTAGCTTTATGCCGATAAAGCTACGTTATAATTTGATTAAACAAAGCACGTGTTTGATAATTGGTCTGCGATATCACAGTTCGGTGGTCAGCATGATGTGAAGGGGTGGTACTGATATTGGTGTTACGTACACTCTATTTCAACTCCTGATGTCGGGAGGACACATGCACTATTACATAAGAAATTTTAATTCATATTCTCAGAAGCCCTTCAACTCGCGTGTCTAGCTTTCAACTGAAACATTGGCAGACGCAATAGATCAAGAGTGAGAACATCACATTATTTTACTTTGACATTAAAACAATGAAGCATTACAAAAGAACTGAATTGAACATGCATGGTAAATTACAAAGACAAACATATTAACGGTAAAATATGGTACACATGTTATTCAGGTGCTGTTTATAACAAAAATTAACAAAAAACAACAATATGGAAAAGTCTTTAGTGACTTCTGTCTTTGAATACTGAAACAGAATTTCGAGAGTGGCGTCAAACCACAAGAAAACATGTTGTTTTACATGTATGCTTAATTTGCCTGCCTTTCCTTAATGACCATTTCCAAGTCAGGATCGGGTACTTTTCGGAACGTTACAAAAATGACGTTATTAGATCAACATTAGATTTGAGAGGTTTATAGACGCTCAAAGCTACATTAGTTTGGTTTTAAGAATCTCGTACCACTACTAAAATATTGTAACTCAGTGTCAGAAAAAGTATCGTTTTTCCCGGCATGCTTTGATAGATTATTGCTAAAAGAACACCATACCTTGCGTGACTTTCATGATAAATAATAAAGATAAAATAAACAATATTTCATAAATCAGCGGGGCTAGACAGGAATGCAAACAGGTGGAGCTCAGATTGTTATACTCTCGTTCTAACCAATAGAGCTACTTGGTAAACGGAAGTGTACTTGCCCAGTTATATCCATACGAAAGTTAAAGGGAGGTCACTGTATATACCAAAACAACAGAGTGCCGTGCGACAATGCTCCTTAAGCCGTGCAGGGATTATGTTTGATACTACAACACATGTATTAAATTTACATTGAAGATAAGTTTAAAAGTTATCATAATTATAAATAAGTAATTCAGTACGAATTCAAGAAATACATGTCGAAAATGAAATATTTCCAATTTGACAGCCCTTTTCATTGAAATTAAACACGGAATTTGTGGCTACATATATTTCTTTAAACCAAAAACCTTGCACTCAATTAGAAAACGATTGGAAAACGAACTCTACTTGTTCTTCTTCCAAATCCTTCGTTTTCAACAAACAAATATCTTTCACTTTACAGTTTCTTCATACTTCACAATTTAAGCCTACATATAGCTTCACTTATTCCCGTTAGCATCCAGAACACTTCTTAAAACTCATTTAATTAAAATATAAAAAATGGACGGATTCTTTTTAAAAATATTTTATTTTCACATTGAAATTATATATACACACGTATTAACTTTACATTAAAGATAATTGGCAATTGATGCATACGTGTAATTTCACTTGTTGTCGTTAGAATATTTCATTTTTTTTTTTTACACTTTTACTTGATTTCGTACTGAATTACATCAATATGTCTATCATATGTCTATCTTTAATTATCATAACTTTTAAAATTATTTTTAATGCTGTTATACATATACAGCCATTGCTACCAACCAAAGCAACACAGTTACCACCGAACTATACAGACATACTCATGAATAAGTAATCCAAGTTATGATCCTATGATCACTTTGAACTTTAAATCC